TTGAATGAAGCAGAAACCTGTCCGAAAAGGAAAACTCAAATATTTTCCACTAATAGAGAGTGATAGAAAAGTGGTTAAGATTTCACCCTGTCAAAGGCACAAAACATGTGAGACCTGGAAAAACAAGGCAGTCTTGTTGAGTTCCTGCTCTCATAGGAGGTTTCACTGTACTTGTTAGTCATCCAGCACAAAGGCATGCTGGGTGCATGTCCCTTGGGAGGTTGCTGGAGTCAGCGACCCAGGCCACATTCAGTTGTTGTTGTTGTTGTTGTGTGCCGTCGAGTCAGCCCCGACTCATAGTGACCCCTCCTTGGGTTTCTGAGGCAGTATCACTACGGAAGTAGGATTGCCCAACCTTCCTTCCGAGGAGTGGCTGGTGGGTTTGAACCGCCAGCCTTCTGGTTAACAGTCAAGTACTTTAGCCACTATGCTACCAGGGCTCCTAGACCACATTCAGAGTACTAGATAAAACCTGCCTCTGCTTCTCCTATGCTAATAAATTGCCCCTATGATCCCAAAGTGAGCTCTGGTGGCATAGTGCCTAAGACATTTGACTGCTAACAAGAAGGCTGGCAGTTCAAACCCACCAGCCACTCCTCAGAAGGATGGTTGGGCAGTATACTTACGTAGTAATACCACATTGGAAACCAAAGGAGGGGTTGCTATAAGTCAGAATTGACTTGATGGCAGTGAGTTTGGTTTGGTTTGAGTGATCTCAATGCTGGATGAGACAGTATGTGGAGCATACTGGGAGCTTGTGCTGGGGAGTTTCTGCCCTTACTAGGAAAAGGGCCTGTACGCATGAATGCCCAGAATCCAATACCTTCCTCTCTCAAGAGTGTTCTGGGTGGGGCTTAGGAGGCCGGGAAGAACCCCATTTTGTGAAGTCATCACAGAGAAGGAGAGCAGGGTGCCTTGCTGAAAGGGTTTTCCTGTGGGCCTGAGCCAGCTGCTCTGAGAACCCACAGTGCTACCTGGGCCGGGCACACAGCAGAATGCTAGGAAACCTTCGTGGGGGGGGGGGGGTTGTCCAGTAGGCCTGTGGTCCTGGAGCTTATAGTCAGAGGACTGTGCCTGGGGGTAGGGTGGTGAAGTGAATGCCAAGCCTACTGGAGACAAGTCACCAACTGTTCCCCCATAGGACCACACCCACCAACTGTTCCTAAGCTCTGATGAAGGTGGGGGGAAGGCCCATCCTTTTGAGGGCATGTGTGCCTCCTTGGCCTCTGGCTGTCCTGAGTCTAAGCCCAGCTGTGTCACTTGCCAACTGCACAACAGCCTCTGGAGAGCTGTGGATGTCTCCAAGTCCCTGAGCCCTCACCCATGAGGTACAGATATGGTAGGGTGCGTGAGACAGTATGTGGAGTATACTGGTCAGTAAAGGGTATGCAGGAGTTGTAATTATGATCACACATAAATCCAATGTAGGATGTGGCCAAACATGTCCCCACAGGGAAAAAAGAATTGCAAAACACAGAGGGTGAGTCAGTAGTTCTCCACCAGGACCTGGATGGAGACTACCTGTGGAAATAGTTACCTCCATGAGGCTCTTCCCTCCCCTCTCCAGGATGCATGTGCAGTGTATAACCCTCCCTTTGCAATGGTGGTCTCTCTGGGGGAAGCAGGGTGTCCCCAGGCCTCAATACTGGTAACCAAGTTCTCACATCACTTTTGGCCTAGGGTAGCAGGATGTACGTGGTGGTCAAGGCCACCTGTCAGTGGGGAAAGGAGAAGAAAGGAAGGTCCTCAGTACCCCAACCCAAATGAGGAAGGTTATCAAGGCCCAGGGTCAGGGCCAAGTTCTGTCCTGATTCTCTTTGCTCCCTTGCTGCCTCTGTGACCTGTATGTGCTACCAAAGTACTCTGTGCCTCAGTTTCCCCATCTATAAAATGGACATAATAGAAGCTGTTTCACAGGGCTGCTGGAGTATTTATAAATACTGAAGTATTTATTTGTGTGGGGTACCTTGTATCTCACTTGGCACAAGGAGGGTCATGGGAGTGACTGTGATCATCACCAACAGCTGGATTATTCTTACATGTGCAAGGAGAAGTGCCTCTGCCTCTTGATCTGGACCTGCCACCCCCAAGAGGTTGGCTCAGGTCCCCAGAGCTGCAGAGGTTGGGGGACCTGGGGAGCCCTGGTGGCAGAGGAGGGTGTGGTAGAGGGCCAAGAGGTACCAGTAGTACAGGGCCCATCACATGGTGGGGGGCCTTGTAGGGCTAAGTGAGGATGTGGGGGCATTGGGGAAGTGTTGAGAATCTGTGGGTGGATAAAAGCTAGTGAATGGGGAAGACACATTGAGAGAAAGTCTCACATAGGAAAGGAAAGGAATCCTGAGGATGTAGAAGTAGGTAGTGAGGGTTCCTTGACCAAGGTTGGGAGATAGTGTTTAGAAAAGCTACAGAAGAGAAGTGAAACTCAAATCGACAGTATTCAGCTCCTAGGCAGAACGGTGCAAGAAACTAAATCATATGCCCTTCCATCTGCCTATCTATTTGTCCATCACTTATTAATTGAATAACTGTGTTAAGCCAGGTGCTGAGTGTAACACTGCTCTGCACAGTGAGGTCATACCCACATGGGCACATACATCCATTTACACTCACATGCACACAGGCACACAATTCACATCCATGCACATTCACATAGACACAGATTCATATATAGATCCACTCACACACACAGCCACACACAGAGACATTGGCACACACTCTTACACATGCACACAAAAACACATATTCACAGCCACACACACTAAATGCACATGCACTCATACATACATGTCCACACACACAGTGGCACTTATATACATGCAAATGCATGTCCTCTACACACAGGCACATACACATACTCATAACCACACATAAACTCACACAGACACACACAGTCTCTCTCACACTCACATATAGTCCCCACAGGGAACTCCAAGGGAACTCCACATACTGTCTCGTGCATGCTACCATCGCTGTACCTCATGGGCGAGGGCTCAGGGAATAGAAGGTTTACTTGCCCAGGTCCCTCCCATGAAGTTCCATCTGACAAGACACCATAGTAAGCTTGGCTGGGGAGAAACCTGAGTCAGAGTTGACATTATGGCAAGTGGAACATCCCAGAGAGGTTGAAAAAGAGGAAGGGCTTTTCAGATCAACAGTTACACAGGGCTGAGGAAACCAGTGTAGCAATTTTCTAAGGCCTGGAAAGTTCAGAGAAGGGAAGCTGCCTCAGGGTGCCCAGCTTCAGGGCAGTGGAGCTGGCAGTTAGGTGTTGGAAGAAGCTAGACACTACTTCTCACCCTAGAATTCTTGTCATCCCTACATTCATTGGAAGGCTTTGGAAGGCAAGGGGAGAGACTTGGGAGGCATGCTGGGGATGGGGTCCAGAGTCTGGACCCCTGTCTCTGCTCAACCGCCAGGAAAAGGAGACTCTGAGCACCTTCATTCTACAGACAGGGCCTGAATCGCTACTGGGGCTGCTACTGGTCAAGTAGAGGAGGTACAGGAGCAGTCACAGCCCCATGACTGTGAATGTCACCTACATACCCAGGAAGGCCTGTGACTGCAGACTTAGGAGCACGAAGTGCAGGGGCCCATCACTCTCAGCCCATAGTTCTGCTAAGTGCTTGGTCTGCACCCTCTCACATAATCCTCTCCAGTATCACCCATTTCATAGATAGGTTCCAAGATCCATGGTGGTAGGCACAAGCATCTAAGGAACACCGCTTCCCCTCCAGGCTCCATGGAGAGGGCAGTTCAGATAGGAGGCAGTGTGGGTTTGGGACCTTGGTGCTGGGGCCTTGGCTTTGTCACACCATGAGGAGGGTGAGGGTATCTTTTCTTCCCCTCCCTGTGCACTAGGGATTGGTGAGTGAGGAGACTCGTCACTAGGAGAGGGAAGTTTCCATTGCTGCCTAATGCTTCCTGTTGCAAGCATTGTCCCACAAGATCCTGCTACTGTCCCACTTTTTAGATAGGGAAACTGAGGTACAGAGAAGCACATATGAGAATAGTCACCAGTGAGTGTGAAAACAATCCCAGTCCATGCTAATACAAAGGACTAGGCTGGGAGGAGCGGCCCTGTGAGGCCAAGAAGGGAGGATAAGGATCCGATGCTGTGACATCAGAGTGACTGAGTGAATCATATTTGCTGAGCACCCTGTAAGCCCATCACTGAGGCCAGAGCAGGAACCCTTGGGCTCATCCTGTCTTCTCCCTATCACAGCACCTGCCTGGTTCCCATGGCCTCCCTGTGTTGAAATAATACCTGGGTTAGGCCCAGGGTCTGAGACAGTGTCCCCATCTCTATGACATCTGGACTCAATCAGGATGTGGGGCTCCAGTCCCTGTGTCCTGTTGCTGCCTGAATATACTCTGGCTGGCCACCTCTGGCCAGGCTTCAGTCCTCTTCTAAAGAGAAAGAGGGCCAAAACCAGCCTATCTAGGTTCCTGCTACTGGTAGACAGTTGTGACCTAAGCAAGTTACTCAGGCCTCTGGGGCCAGCTTCTGGAGTTATACAGATGAGACCTTTCATTTCCATCAGTCTGGATGTTTGATGACTCTGCGTACTGAGGGGTTACCTCCACTGCTTTGTGTGTATGGGGGGGATGGGGGGGTGAGGGAGCTTTATGCTTCCTGGCTGTGCCTAGCCAGCAAATGCCGTGGCAGTAGATTCTAAGAAGATGGAAGTGTTTGATTTCTGGGGTCTCTCAGCCAAGGCATAGGGCCAGCTGTCAGGCAGAGGGAGAACCATCAGATAGGAACCCTTGAACAGTGACCAAAGGCATACACTGGCAGTGGGACAGCAGGAGCCACCTTAAGGCCCCTCAGGTGGACCTTCTCACAGAACCAACTTCCCTTGTCTCCAGCCTGCTGCCACACAGAATCCCTCCCTGGAGCTGGTGCCCTTCTCCAAATGGTGTCCCTGAGCTGAGTATTATCTGCAAGCTCAGAGAGAGGATGTAAACACCAAGAACACCTAAGCAACTAGTGAGCCTCTTACCTCTGGAAGGGTCCTCTGTGATGCTCAAGACGAAGGAGCAGCAGGCAAGCACCATCCAGGCTGACTGCATAGTGGCTATGCAGGGGCCGGCCCAACAGGGTTTGGGGCTTGGCAGTGCTAAGTGCCAAGTGGTGCCTGCAGGAGGACTGTCAAGAAACAGGAGGAAGAGGAGTGACACTGCCAACCTAGCTGGATGTGGTGGGGCAATTCTGCTGTGGGTTGGGGGTTTCTTGCTGAATCATTTTGATCAGATGCTCTTTCTCTCCAGATCTATATAGGCCACACCTCAACCACTTCCTCTATATAGGCAAGTTTCTAAGCTGCGGCCATTTGCTGGGGGAGGGGAGGAGACATGAGACCTGTGATCAAATCCATGACGGTTTTCTCACTCAGTCATATATGAAAAGTGTATCACATTAAAAAAATCAGCAGGCAATTTCAGAAGCAGAATCATTCAGATTTCCTTCTCCAAATGATACCTCTCTTTGCAAAGATTCAGACATGCTGAGGGGACCCTGACAAGACACCAGTGTCACTGGTGAATCCCCACCTCCAGGAGAACCCAGACAAAAAAGCAGGCTGTGAACCCATAAAACTCTACAAGAAAAAGGCTGATGTGCACACAGCTGCACTCCAATATCTCCTGGACTCCTGAAGGAGCAGCAATACTGGTTCAAAGACTAGTCAGCTCTGTCTTTTCTCAAAGCTGGCACAAGAGAGAAAAGGACAATGCTTTTCCCAGAATTCCTGTCCCATATCTTTGAAGTCTGAATGCAGCAGAGGTCTGCTCCTGGAAGGGCATCCATTTACACACACAGCCATGGGAGGGCAAGGGATAGCCTCTCTTACTCAGTTTTCCCTTTACTGGGTTGTGACAAGGATTCAGGGCCATTTTCTGTCCTCTATAAGTAGTCGGAGCTTTGAAGAGAGGACCTGCCATAGTCATAGCTTGAGGAAGGTTCATGAATTGCTTGGGAATTCTTGGCAGCCAGGTAGTACAAAGGATGGTCGAGCCTGCTGCTTACAGGGGCCAAGACTGCACTGGTGTCACTGCTGACACAGGGTGAATCCAAGTCAGAACCTGGATTGGTCCTGGCTAAGTGCACCAGTCATCCTGGCTTCCTTTGAGGTAGATAGTGAGGACAGGAAATGTCGCCATGGAGCATGTTTAGCACAGAGACTGGAGAGAACCGACCATCTGCTTCCTTGCTCCCCACCCGACTGTTGGAATGGTGGCATGAGACTCCTCTTTCAGTCCTGCATTGCACCTCATCTGGCCCAAGCAGAAGATGAAGATATCCCTTTGCTCTCTCATGGACTTGTCAAAGACCCAGACTGTCTTGGGCATGCTATATCCCCATGCCCTCTGTCTCTGTGCTCCTCCAGTGAGTAAGGTGGGTGGGCTCTTATTACTGCTTGTTGTCTTTTTTTTTTTTTTTTT